CCCAGAGACGCAACACGTCTGACTCTAAAGGACAGCCTGGAGCATCGCAGCACCTAAATCTCTCTCTTTTTTGGCCATTAGCTTCTTGGTCCTTGTGCTGCTGGAAAAGAGTAATGTCTGTAGTTCTGACAGTGATTAATGATGGAAATTAAACAAGGAAAAGACAGCTATCCATTTAAATAATGAGCAGGACATCCATACTGTCCTTTTTAAGGTAATGTCTTGCTTTTGCAGAGGTCTAGCTTCCCCCTCTGTGTTCCCAAGGCAATGCTGCAGTACCCTGAATTCTGTCAAAGAAGATAAATATAGTTCAGAGAGGAGCAGGGACCTGTCCCAGCTCCTGTTGTCTCTGGCTGAAGGGATTAGCCCTGCTGCAATTAATCACCGTGTGTAAATAAGCCCTGAACTTGGTATGACTTGGTATGAGTTTTGATGGGTGACTTTTGTCTCGGAGGGACATCAGCGGTGTGAGGACTTCTCTGCAAGAAGGTTCTTGATTAAAAGCTCTTCCTGTACGTGCTGAGCTGCATCCCCTGACTGTTGCTTTCCCTTGGTGCATCTCAGTAGTGACCTATCATATGGCTACCAGACACCTCACCCACCACTCCCAACCCCTCTCTCGTAGGTGGGTGCATTAAACGCCTGTTTCTTTGCTAGACGAGGTTTCCATGTTGACGTTTATGAAGCCAGAGAAGGTAAGTTCAGCCTGATCATTGCTGCTTTATTGTTATGTTTCTGTCCCTTTGCTGATAACAGCTCTTGAAGAAGCAAAAGAGGAACTGCGTGAGCTCACTGAAACTGCAGAAAGAAAATGAAATCTGAAAGTGTGACACTTTGGGGAAACTCTTTTCACTCTTCCCTTTAGCTCCTGTGGTGGTGGGGAGCATTTGTTTGAAATATGTTGTCTTGTGTGGAGGGAACCCACCCTTCAGCTACTAAAATGAGGCCCTTTTTTGTGTTCTTGACTTAAATATCAATTCAAATCCTCACCTTCGAAAGCTGGTCTCTGCATGAAGAACTAATAGCAATGGTGCTGTTGAACCAAGCTGGGTCAGAAGTTTGGAAGCCAGGGCAGTTGTTGATGCTGCAGCACCTCTATTAGGGTTAAAAGCACCAACTTGACTTGTAACCACTGCCATCAGTGGTGAGGAGGGCTGGTGGTGAGAGGGGCAGAAGGAGAGATGGAGTGCTTTCAGGAAGCCTCCAGCTCTGCGGGGCACTGCCACAGAGAAATGATGATTCTGAGCCCATGTGGTGGCTGAAAGGGAGAGAAACCATTGATCTTCAGTGTCTCTCAGCTGACAGACAAATAAAACCTGGGCAGAGATGGCAAGCCAAGCAGAAGATGAGAATGACACCATGGAAGGTGAAACTCCACTTGGATGTGCAGTGAAGGGAAGGAGAAGCCCTGTGAAACATGTGGTCTCTGTGATAACTCTTCCTGCTCAGGCAGACGTTGGGACGGGCAGTTCTGCTGCACGGCTCCCAGCTGCTCCCATCCTGAGTCCTGTCCACAGCTCTGGCTCCTCGTCCCAGGAACAGGGGGGTCACAGCAGCCAGTCCCCAGCGATGCCACCAGGCTGCAGCCCCAGAGCAAGAGCAGATGGCTTTTCCCTGTGCTTTAACTCTCCAGCTCTTTGCTGGATGTGGCACATGCTACAAGTTTCACAGGTTCACAAAGCCTCTGGTTGCTCTTACCTGCCTTCTGAGTCAGACAGATTTTAGCACTTTTACTCCAATTTTTGGCCCATTTCTTGTGCTGAGATGCAACCCTGAAAGCTATTTACTCTGAGGGTGGTGAGACAGTGTCCCAGGTTGGCCAGAGAAGCTGTGGCTGCTCCTCCCTGGAAGTGTTGAAGGCCAGGTTGGATGAGGCTTTGAGCAACCTGGTCTAGTGGAAGGTGTCCCTGCTGCTGGCAGGGGGGTTGGAACTGGATGAGCTTTAAGGTCCCTTCCAGCCCAAACCAGTCTGGGATTCTGTGATTCTATTGGGACTGGGATGAGGTTCTGCCCCATGTGCTGGCCAGACAATCCAGGAAGCCTGAGGTGAGACTGTTTGGAGGAGGAACAAGCCAGCACTGAGACTTCTCCATCTGGACAGTGATGGAGAAGGTCACCTGCCAGTGTCCTGAAAAGCATCAATCTGTGGATCTCAGCAGAAGCTGCCAGGCATTCATCACTCAGCTCTCTCCACTTAGAGAGAGACAACATGATCTTAGTGACAACGTGCCCTCCAACACTGCAGGGAGCATCAGGATCCAGTGTTCCCTTTGCAGCACTCGGCTGCAGCTGCTTCTTCCAGGCTAGAGGTGGCACAGAGGAAGAAGCCCTCAAAGCTGCTCAGCTGCCTTCCCAGCAGCTGAAGGTGTCCTGATACCTGTCTTCTCCACATGTGGAGCCAGGGATGGGGACTCCCTGCTGTGGCTGCAGGGATTTCAGGAGATGCCGCCTGCACCAGGCTGTGGTATCAGCATCTCCATAACCAACTCCTCTATCCATGCAGATATCCGGGTGGCCAGCTTTGCCCGTGGCAGAAGCATTAACTTGGCCCTGTCCCACAGAGGACGCCAAGCCCTCCGAGCCGTGGAGATGGAAGAGCAGGTACCCTGGTAGCTTCTGTCAGTGGTGAGATCTCTGTGGTTAAAATGCTGTAGACTTCAGCTGCTGATGGATGGGTGCTTTTTGGGTCCCCAGGCATGCAGGGGCCACCATAGTGGTAGCTCTGCTTTGGTGATGGTGGAGGTAGACTTCTCCCACTGCACGCCCACAGCCTGGCTCTCCACTGCTTCATGGCACAGCTGAGATCTCTCCCCAGCCTGGGGTCAGCACCCAACCCCGGGCAGCTGGGCTCTGCTGGTGGCAGAGGGTGCTTCCCCAGGAGACCAATGCTCACACAACACCTTCTAGTGTTACCTCCCCTCCATGATCTCCTCCCTCCTGGAGACTAAGGACAACCAGGGCAGGAATAGGTGGACTCCCAAGAGAGCTGGAGTACCAGCAGGATGTGATAAAGGGGGCTGGTTTCCCTGCTGACATGCCCAGATTTGTACTTTCCCACCAAACCTTGAGCTTTGGGCTGACCCCTGAAATCCACACGCACCGACTTCTGCACGGCACGCTTGGCTCCGAGCCCAGCGCTCCTCTGCAGGGTGCTCGCCACCATTTAACATCCAGCTGTTGGCAGTGGTGGGATCTCCTGGCCCTTGGCTCCCTGCAGAGGAACCCAGGCTTTGACAGGTCCTATCCCATCACCAGGAGGTAATTTAGCCGTCATCCCCTGCCCTGTCCAACACCCTGGGGCTTTTCACATCCTTTCTATCAAAAAATATTTTGCACTGATTTTTATGGGAATTAACTCAGTAGTTAGTAAGTAACCTCACTGAAATGTAGTATCTTGGTGTTGACAGCCCTGTACATTTTTTTCCCAGTAACTTGGCTAGTGACACACAAATGTCTGAGCAGAGAGCATCCCATTCTGCCCGGAGTGCAGTGCATGGAGGGAACGGCGCTTGGTGGCTTCTGCCTTGCCCCTCAGCAACTCAGTTTTGGCCAGAAGGTTGGGTTATGTTCCCTTCCATTCCAGATCGTGTCCAAAGGCATTCCCATGCGGGCCAGGAGGATCCATACACCGTCAGGGAAGAAGTACTCCATCCCCTACGGGAAGAAGAACCAGGTACTGGTCTGGTGCTGCCACTCAGAGATGCTTCGCAGAGCACGAGGGGGCTTTGGTGGCATTTGTAGCTCTCTGTGATTGTGGTGGTTTCACTCACTCTCTCACTCATTCATTCTTTCAATTACTAATTTCCAGTTACTAATGGAAATAAAATTAGTAATAACAGGATATGCAAATGAGTGATGCCCAGTGCAGTTGCTCACCACCCACTGACCGATGCCCAGCCTGTCCCAGCCTGTGATTCCAGAGCAGAGAAAGTCTACAAACCCAAACCCCAGAACAGTGAGAGCTCAAGTGATCCCCGAGAGAATCCCCCCGTCTTCTGGTCAGCCCTGGTTAATGTACTGACCATGACGTGATATGATCTGGGATATCTCATTGGCGGAGCCAAATGCCAATTTGGGGTTTGCTAATTACTACGCTGCTCCCTCCCAGTCCTAATGCAGCTGTGAACCAGCCAAACACGATGACCTTGGGCTCCAGCAGCAACTAAAACCATCAGTACCTGATCAACATTCTTCTCATAACAAATCCCACACTGAAACCAAACCACAGCTCTTCCAGCTACTGAGAAGACAATGAACTCCATCCTAGTGAAACCAGGACAGTGATGGACAGCCCGGGGCTCAGGCTCTTAGAAAGGACACTGGTTCATCGAGGCTGTTGGGAGAGGTGGCATTTCTCATCTAGCCATGCAGAGCATCCTTCAGCAATTCCTCCTGAACCCCGTGTTTGTTTGCCTTGCAGTACATTCTCTCTGTGGACAGAGCGAACTTAAACAGAGAGCTGCTAACAGGTAGGTGGCCAGGTCTGTTTGCAGACACTTTTACCCACTGTTCACCAAGGATTTAGGGTTTGCTCCATGAAGAGGACACTTTGGGTCCCAGGCTCTCTTTGCCCATGAGTTTGGCACAACTTGGCTCTCAGAAAATGCAGTAGCTGTGTTTTGAAGTAGAAAATCTGTGCTGTGTCCCTGCTGCTTGCCTGACACAAAAGGATATTCAAACAAATCCCCCCGAGGTCTTTCTATGTGTGCTGACATCCCCGAGGAGCAGCTCTTCTGCATTTGCCCTCAGCTCCCCGGCTCCTGGTATGGGCATCTGCTCCCAGAACTTCACCAGCCAAAGCAGGGGCCACCTCCTCAGCCTGGTCATGGTTCATGGCATTTTCCACAACCCTGATTGCGCAGAGACAAATAGAAATTGTGACAAAGTGTGTGATCAGGCCAGGTCAAATTTCCCCAAATTTCCCACTGACCACAGGCACCGCATCCCATCCTGAAATACAATGTGGTGTTGGTGGAGACAGGTTCATGACTCATGTCATTGTGGGGAAGAAATCTTTGCAGGATTCCTTGCACTTTTAAATAGTTTTCACCAGCATTGGGCAAACACAGTCCTAGTGCTCCCTGCCCACTGGCCATCACTCAACACAGCAATCTTTGCTGTAAAGAAAAAGTCCCACTAATTTAGGGATTCCTTGGAAATCTTTTGGGGTCACAGTACAAGCCTCTACATTTACCTGTCAGGGGAGGTTTAGGCTGGATATGAGGAAAATTTATTCACTGAAAGGTTTGCCAAGTATTGGAACAGGCTGCTCAGGGCAGTGGTGGGAGTCACCATCCCTGATGGGATTTAAAGGGCGTGTAGATGTGGTACTTGGGGACATGGTTTAGTGGTGAACTTGTCAATGCTGGGATTACAGTTGGACTAGATGATTAAAATGGTCTTTTCCAACCAAACTATTCTATGATTCTTTTCTTTCCACAGCTGCTGAGAAGTACTCCAACACTAAACTGTACTTCGGACACAAGCTCGTGGGGTGCAACGCAGAGTTGGGGACGTTGACCATAAAAAGGTAATCCCTGTGCAAGCCTGGGATCAAGCACTATGTTCAGTTAGTTTCTGCTTAATTATTGATAAAAACCTCAAACAATTGAGCAATCTCAGTTTGAAACTAGCATGTTATTCCTGAGGGGGTAAAACTTGGTGTCAGCTTTGGAAAGGAGAAACATCAAAGCAGGGTTCATGAGGAGGTTGAAAAAATTGTGAGGAACTCCGTCCCACCCCAGCAGCCTGGCAGTGGGATGGGCACACACTTGCTGTCCTCTGCAGGGGATTAACACACCAGTCTCCACAGCCCTGATGTTCAGGGAGATATTGCTCATCAGGGAGGGCAGATAACGATCTTGCTTCATAGTTGTGTTAAGTTCTGATCATGTCCCCTGTCCACCCAGGGCTGTAGGCTCTATGAAATAGCAGCATTATCCCAACAGTGCCTATTGCATCCTTGGGTAGATGTGGCAGAGTTCTGCTCCAATTTTTAGCCCATTTCTTGTGCTGAGATGCAACCCTGAAAGCTATTGGGACTGGGATGAGGTTCTGCCCCATGTGCTGGCCAGACAATCCAGGAAGCCTGAGGTGAGACTGTTTGGAGGAGGAACAGGCCAGCACTGAGACTTCTCCATCTGGACAGTGATGGAGAAGGTCACCTGCCAGTGTCCCGAAAAGCATCAGTCTGTGGATCTCAGCAGAAGCTGAGTAACCTACAGGCTAATTATTTATCCTAATGCTGAACTTCCCAGTCAGTGGAAGCCGATCTTCCCTCAGCCTAGAAGATTAATAACGCTGGAGGTGACACCAGCATTTTGCAAAAGGCAGATCCACTGTGCCCAGCAGTGCTGAGCTGGCCTGGAGTTCGGTAGGATTGATCCAAGGGACTGTCTTGCTTTCAGATCTGGCCAGCAGCCATTGGAAGTCACCTATGATCTCATCGTGGGGTGCGACGGAGCCTTCTCAACAGTCAGAAAGCAGTTCCTGAGGCAAACTCGCTTTAACTACAGTCACGAGTACATTCCTCACGGCTATATGGAGCTGACCATCCCTCCCAAGGATGGAGATGTAAGTGTGCCTGTCCTGGGGGGCTGCTACCACCTTTGCAGATGGGACACCCTGCTCCCCTCTCATGGCAGCTCTGCTGCAGCAGCTCTAGAGAAACTCATCTCTTGCTTGAGGTTCAGCCAAGGGATTAAAACTTCCATAGAAGAAGGCAGGCATCTCTTCCTCTTCCAGTGGTGGGGCCAATGTCTGGGTACCTGGCTGCAAAAATCCTAGAGAGGCTGCCCCAGCGCAGTGGGTTTAACTGTAGCTCTGAGAGGTCCTGGGGATATGGGAACGTGCCTGTGAGGACCTCAGCAACTGCAAACCAGCAGATTTTTGCCCATCTTTTCCTACCTTTTCCTCTTGCCCTTCCTCTGTGTCTCCCTGAAGCACCAGGTACCAGAAAGGGGCCCTGTGGTCATTGTGTCTGCTCATGGTACAGAGGATGGGAACTGGTGTGCTGGTTTGGGGCTGGGTTGGGGAAGCTAAGCAGGGCAGGGCAGGGACACAAGGTGATTTTCCTTCTCTTTCAGTTTGCCATGGAACCAAACTACCTCCATATCTGGCCAAGAAACACCTTCATGATGATTGCACTGCCCAACATGGTGATCACCCACAGCCACGCTCCTTTAGGGCATGGGATGGAGCTTGTGGGGATGAACTGGCTGGGGTGGCAGGGGTTGGGAGGTCCAACTTGTGCCAGGTGTCCCACTGCCTGGGGGAGGGGGGTGCAGGACAGGACCCCCAGTGCCAACCCTGCCTCACAGCACTGAGCAGGTACCTGTGCCACTTCTCTCTGCCCACCACACATCCAAGCCCACCTGAGCTGCCCAAAATCCAGTGCCCTGCAGATGGATGTTATAAACCGGGTAGGGGAGTGCCAGGGCAGATCATGCCCTGCCTGTTTCTGCCTCCCCCCTGCCTGCCCCCTCCATGGGAGTCAGGGTGTCCAGGTGCTCGTCCCCGCTGTGCAGGTGGGACACTGCCATGGCTGGGTGACAGGCTGGGCACTGAGCTGCTGCTCCAGGTGCCAGGTGCTCTCTATGGCCTCTGGGCTTCTTTCTGATCTTCCTCCCCTGGCTGGCAGGACAAGTCCTTCACCTGCACGCTCTTCATGCCCTTTGAGGAATTTGAGAAGCTTACAACAGGGAAGCAAGTCCTGGATTTTTTCCAGACCCACTTCCCAGATGCCATCCCCCTCATCGGAGAGTAAGTGTTCCCATCTCCCCTTGTCCCTCGTCAACGCAGTGCCACACAGCCAGGGGATACATCCCCACCCAGCCCCGGGGTCCTGGTGACAGACACGCTGCTGAAGCTGGAGGGCCAAGGGGTTGCAAATGTTGTTGGGGTGGATCTATGTAGGTCTGAAGGAGGGGGAGTGAAGAGACGGAGGTCCACATTGCGTCCACGCTGGAACAGCAGGCTGGGCAGCAGGACACAGCCCCATCCCATGGCAGTTTCTGATGGAGTCACACCAAAGCACCGCTCTGTCCCTTGGAGGCACAGCAGGAGCAAAGAGCAGATCACCTCCTGCTGCTTTCGTATCACAGAATCACAGAACCACAGAATGTCAG